AGTCAGAGCAACAAAAACACCAGTGTCTCCTTCTGTAAAAGGTAAAAAGAGAATGTATCAGATGAAAGAAAGAGGTCATCACACCACAAAACATGCAACAATACTTTGATATGGACTTTCAATTTACTTTAACCTTGCACTTAACAATATCTATCTTTTTAGCAAGTAATTGTCATTGTCATGTCAACTCTTATAACATGATCTTTGACAATGGTCAGGTAATTATTCTGTCATTTTTAAGGCCATATTACTCTATAGGCCGATGATTCTGCTCACCTTTGACTCCAGAATGAAGGCTTTGAAATAGCGGTACTTGGAAACAGCTCCTTTAGGCACAGTGATTGCTGCAGTCCATGTATTTCTGTCAAGGAATCAACATACACATCAATATTTTAGAAGTAAAACAACAGCAAGAAAAGCAGACCATCCTTTGCATGTAACCACATACTATTGTTTAATAAATAAGGCATTACACACAAGGTTTAACATACTCATTATTACTATCAGGATGCAAGGTCACAGCTCTTTGATGGCTCCAGCTTCCCAGGGCTTCACAGCTACCAACAACTGCAATCACCTCACCTAAAAAGTTTGAGACAGGCCTGTTAACTCCTGTAAATTCAACAAACATGTTCAGTAAATGGGAAAGGTAGTACAATCTATAGCATCTATCTTTTGACAGTACCAAACCGAAATCTATGAAGAAAGCAAGCAATACAAATGCACAGTGAGCCATACCTGGGGACGTTTCTCCTCTGACAGTCAGGGTCACCTGAGTGGTCTCCATAGTTGACACCCGCATAGACAAAATTGGCAGCGTAAACAAACTGAAAGACATTAAAATGTGACATTTAATTACCTGATAACCAATAACACAATGTAGGCAATATACAGCACTGCCTACTCTAGTGACGTTGTGGTAACGTTAGCTAACTACTGTAACTAGTTAGCTTTACTTAAGTTACCGGTAAGCTGCCTGACTTACTGTACCGAGAGCTAACGTCAAGGTTCTGTGAATACGGGAACAAAACAGTTTCACAAGTGAAGCGAAGAAAACCGTAAACTAAACAAAGTAACGTTACAACTAATCTTACCGCCTTGGCAGCTATGACACGACTCTTGGCAGCTATGGCACGACTCTTGGTAGCCCGAAGGAAGAATTCACAGTGAATGTCACAGTGATCTGTCTATCCTCCTGACAGAGAGCGAGCCTGTCCAGCTGGTCCAACCGTAATCATCACTACCGTTAATCAAACGTCGATCGATATTAGCGTAACCTCAACGCAAACCAATGCTAGTGTTACGAAAATAAAAACGACACAATAATTACAAGGCGGCTAAAACTTCTTACGGAAATATATAGTCGTGTCAAGAGTATATAGCGATAATTAACCTAGCCCGAAATGACGAGTGTTTAATTAAGCTAGCCCGGAATGACGAGTGTTGACTGCTGACTAGCGTTATAACAAACATTGTGCTACTGGGGTGTTAAGTTAGCCAAAATAAAATAAAGTGACTGCCGGCATGTGATTTCAAAATAAAATATTTACTGGTAGACATGCTTGGATGTAGTAATAAGTGATATGGTTATAGGTATTGTGCTAGGAAGATGGTCTCAGTATTTTTTAAATCCTTAATGCCTCTCAGTCATAACACTGACAGATGGAGTCTAAATATTTATTCTCCTGTCACAGATATGTATCACCTTTATTTATTAGGTGCAATTTCCGTACTTCGTGTTGTGTCCCGCTGGCTACTAGACGGAGCTGGTTCCGCGGATATATGGCTGGTTCATACCGGCCTGCTCCGGATTTCTGTCTGTCAGATATGTTGCATTAAAGTACTTTCGGAAAAGCTATGACTAATTGATCGCATGTGTTCGACCCCAAATGTGGTTAACAAATAGGAAAAAAATCTCACGTTTTTAAAATATCATTGGGTCATGTTATAGGAACGGTTGACATAAAGTCGACACAATTAATAACTTCCAGCAAATTTGTTAGCTACAAACAACAAATATGATTCCTATTTTCCAATATGTTTGGCCTATAGGCTATTACAGAAATGTGAATTTCTGAGGTAAAATAGAGGTTAGCCTATAATATAAAACAGGCTACTTCTGGGTCCATTTTGCTATAGTTTAAGACCAAATCGGATTGTAATAATACGATAATTGCTAAATGATAACCAAATAACAAGCTGAATTTAATGGTGTTCCATACAGTACAGTGTAGGAGTTTACAATGTTACACATCAGCCGACTGTTTATTATTGGTCCCGACAGTAGGCTACAAGGCCGAACTTAGAAAACGACAGTGCATGGCAATAAGAACAAATATGAATATAGCCTACCGTAATCAGAAATTGATAAACCTGCACATTTTTAAATAGTCTATGACCTGTTTTATAGATGTAGCAGGCGTGCTCCGAAAAGAGGGGTTGTTTTAGGCACTGACGTCATGATCACCCCATCCTAGACTGTCGATTTAAAACATCTCCTTCACAACATGACAAAGATTTTGATAACACCCAAAAATAGAATTATTAGAAGGACCCTTCATGGAAAACGACCAGTGGCATGACTGAAATATGATACATTTGCAGTTTGACCCTGCCAGCCAAGAACATACAGTCAATAGTCAGGAACGAATGAAATATATACACTATTTCACGCTGCCTTTTATATCCTCTCATGCTGACATGTGCTAAACAGTTTAAATAGCCTACCAACAACACTTCTAGGAACACTCCTGATCCATTTTAAAATGACACTTGGAGTGCTCAGGTTTTATACCCATGACCAATAACAAAGAGCATTTAACAGCATTTCTAAAGTCTTTTAGTATACCACTCCATATTCAGATGGTTAATTTAAGGACAGGGACCGGTGCATGTGATAACTTATGCAACAGGATGATGTCAACTGCCTAGATGTCCAAAACCACTGTCGTGGTCATCATACTGCTCCTCTGCAAGTATTTGCACTGTATAGATTAACATTAGAATATTACATGTTGTGCTCAAATACATTTACGTAAGCACTGGGTGTAACTGTACTCTACTGGCTTTCTGGTGTCAACTAGGTCTGGGGTCAGTTCATTCTGCTGGCAGAAACCACTGCATCCCATAGGACTACAGTATATGAAGACTTTACTCCTCCTAGTTTTTCAGTAGTTTCTTTACTTGATGAAGGGTAAATCAATTGTCAATCAGACAACCTATCATTTTTGTGTGACTTCAGTATTACTTGACCTTATACAGTCTGACCAAACCAAGGCATCGTGCTGGCCTGTAGTAAGATACACAGCTTTATAACTGTGACAGTAACTTCTTGGTTCTCATGCTGTAGACAAGCAAAATCCTTACACCGTTAAAATGTAGAAACACTTTTCAAAATAATACTTTTTTCAGAATCATAAGAGCATTGTAATGCATTAGTGGAAATGTGATAGTTTTTTCTTAGTTTCATTATTATTCCTTTAAACACGTAAGTTGTTAAACAATGTAAATAATAAATAAATAATAAAAACAAATGATTTATCAGTTTTGGTTCAAAAATTAGGTTTTATGAGATAACTGGTAGTCATAATACCATGAAAGAATAATCTACTTTATTAACTTTGGCATTAAGCTGCCAGACTTAAAATCATAGTTTAATCTATAGCCCCCTCTATTGTTCAAATAAAAATACTACACTATGCTTTGGGTGAGAGTTGGATTCAGGGAAGCTTTGTTTTAAGGGTGGGTTAGGTTTGGAAAATGGTGTTTCTTATTGTGAGGCTCTAAAGATTTATGATGGCATGGCCTGAGACCCCCCTCTTTGTAGCCAAATAATGAGTAAACATCATTTAACATGTATACTGAACTTCTATATGAATGCTTTCCCATTCTTAGGCACATTTAATTGCATATTATTGACTGAATATATGAAATAGTATTTGATTACTGTACAGAGTTCTGTATGTAAATGGTGTGCATGTATCATATACACATATATACTGTACAATTACTATATGTCTGTGCATAGGTATGTACTGTATATGTTTGTATGCTGTATAGGTATGTGTGCTGTGCATATGTATATTGTGGATATTGGATAGTGTTGTAAAATATTATAATCCTAGTAAGACAGTGATGGAGGGTATAAAGGTACATAGCATGTTATGTTTTCTGATATTTCATGGCATCATAACAACCTCTTGTGTCCTGTTGCTTTTCTTTTCTTTTCTTTCTCTTCTGTCCACTCACCCCAACCAGTTGAGGTGGAAGTCTGGCCACCCAAGAGCTGGGAGGTTTGTTCCATTAAAGGGAGTTTTTCCTCTCCAGTGACGCTAAGTGCTGTTCAAGGGGGATTAGTTGGGTTTTCCTTATAATAGGGTAAGGTCTAGACCTGATTATGTAAAGTGCCCTGAGATAACTGTTGTTGTGAATTGGCGCTATTCAAATAAATTGAATTGAATTGAATTGAATGGAAAGAAGGGAATGGTATGAAACTTCGTCTGCTTGGCGTAATAGGTGTGATCAACATATAAAATGAAAATGGTTCAATTCACATATTTGCAACATCCCCCTGCATGTTTATATTACAAAGATACTGTTCAGGTCAACATAACAGGAGGGTTAAGCATATCACGCTTATCCTAGAAAATGTGCTGTCAGGGCTAGCACACCTTTGCAAGTGCAATTCCTCATTTTTGGCATGCAATAGGACTTTAATCAGGGATTAATGAATCCCTTTTGTTTTGGATAAAGGGAGACACTGGAGAGTATATAATGAGAGCAATGAAAATGATGAGGATTTTCATATTAGGATGGGATGTTCTCTATAGTAGGCTATCTTCATTACTTGTCTGACCTTGTTAATGAACACCAATGGGATCCCAGTGTCTCAGGGTGGGAAAGAATTATCTATTTGGCCTGAAAAAAATGCAGAAAAACTCTGCTCTGGGTGTGTGAAACATGGGAATTTTGCAGTGCTGACTTGCTACTAGAAGCATGTGTGGGCCCTGCTGAAAAGTTGTTGTTTTGAAATGATGAAAAAGAGAGGGAGAGAGAGGCATATGAAAAGAACAGAGAGAAATCATGAGTGACGAGAGATTGTAGGATTATGAATATTTCAGGTTTTTCTCAGCACCGCAGTGCTCTCTTTAGAAATTGCCTTCTAAACCCATGTACTTCTACAGTTGTGTAGTGTAATAGGTTGATCATCAATAGGAATTGCACTTGTGGACAAACACAACCACAATAATGCCATTCTAAATTATTCTCAGTGGTTCTGATCTGATGCTTAATATCACAATTTAGCTTTTATAATTATTTTGTATTTTGATAAAACACATCAATTCTGATTAATTCCATTTCAAATGGTACATTCTATAAATAAGGTGGACTTTACTCTGGACTAGAAGTCTACTACCTCTTTAGTACCTCTCGTCACTGACAAATTATGTTGTTGCTGTGTCAGTACACTACCGTGCATTTCCAACTGTATATTGCCAGAGCCTTTGTGTGTGTAAAAAATATGTAGAGCTCTCAAGTTTCCCTTTGTTAGAGTCTATGGAACGTCATATGTCAGTTAGAATTCTAGCCTATAAGGCATGAATGTGGGTACGGTGCATGATATTAGTTTGAATACATTTACTTCTGTGTGCAGTTATTGGATTTCTTTTTACAAGTATTTACCCTGGTTGTGTTTGAATAAATAAATCTGCAGCAGTGTGTAAAGCAGCCCCTCACATTTGCCTGCAGTGTGATTTTATCTACTGGTCATGAATACATAGTGTCATTCTCTCTGTTTCTGTTTGTCTCTCGCCTTCTTCTCCAAACTCCATTTGCAGTAATATTTATGTCAGAAAGATAAAGTTGGTATTTGAAAGCTTTCAAGAGCTTACAATACATCTCCTAAAGTGCCCGAAAGTGAGAGGACAGATAATATAATGTAGATTTCAAAGAGAGAAAATAAAAGCAATTTCTCATGGCCAGAGGCGGAAGAAAATACGGTGGTAAATTTTAAGCCATCCCTGATGAGAAGTGAATTGCTGAGTTATCCTTATCATTTTCTATTGAAATGTGGATTGCTGGCACAATATTGAATAAAACTCCAGTGTATTACTTTGCAAAACCCCCTTCCATAATACCCCTTACAAAATGAAATATACTCTAATGTGTTCTCTGTGATGAATGAAAACAGACAGCCACAGAAAGGTTGAGATTTTTAAAATGCAAATGACAATTCTGCAGCCTGTGCTGTTGTGCCGTCCTAAAAAAACAGTGTATGGCCAACTAGTAACCAGTGGTCAAAACAGACCTGATGGCTCTACTGATTCCATCATATCCCACCTGCTTGTCAAAGGTGGTTAGACAGAGGAAATGAATACAGAAAGATATGAAAGCATGGAAGGCAAAAAGAAAGGCTGAGGAACTGCGTTATCGCTGTTTGCGTTTGCAAAATGAAACACAATAAGAGCTAGAGGGTTGTTGTTGCT